AAGTTACATGTATTTATAATATCTCAATAGAAAAAGGTATTTGATTTATTGTTTTATCTATTTCTATATAAAATTAAAATATCTAATTGATAAATACACATAAATAAGTTTTTATTTAAAAATTTATTTAATATATGGCAAAATCTAATTGGATATTTTTTAACACGTCTTATTCATCAACCTTAATTATAAAATTATTTTTTGGCCCAGCCCATTGTTGACCCAATAGGTATAAGGGTCGGATCAAAAAGAAGCCAGAGAGGTTTCGGAGCTTTGTGGCAGTGTGTCGGCTTCGGCTTCCTTCTTTGAGTCGTCGAGGTCTCTCCTCCGTCATCACTTTCGCTGAATCGCCACACTCTCTGAATTCCCTCTTCTTCGGTTTCAATGGCTGATCTCGATGTTCCTCAGAGTAAGTCGAGAGACCTCGACAAGCTTCTTCTCCGACCTGGGAATCTCGTCGGCCCCGACTTCGATCCTGGAACCGAAGTAAAATCCTTATTTCTCCATCGTTCCTTCGGTTTTTATCTGATGATCTTCATGCGATTGCTTCTAGTTTTCCCGTGATTTTGCATCGAATTATGGTGGTTTTCTGAGCCAAATTTTGTATACAGCTGAGGGACGATATGCGAGAATATGTAAGGATCTTGGTGGTTGGTGCGGGTGGATTGGGTTGTGAGCTCCTCAAGGACTTGGCTCTTTCGGGTTTTAGTAATCTGGATGTGATTGACATGGACCGCATCGAGGTCACCAATCTCAATCGCCAGTTTCTCTTCAGGCAATTTCTCCTTCTTTGTCTCTTGTCTATGATAATATTTCTAGAAATTTATAGCCATCTCTGTAGGAATTGATAGTCGCACGATTGTTAAGGTTGATTTGGTTTGGTTTTGTTTTAGACTTGAAGACGTAGGAAAACCTAAGGCTGAGGTAGCAGCAAAGCGTGTCATGGAGAGAGTTAGTGGAGTGAAGATTGTCCCGCATTTTTCACGTATAGAAGACAAAGAGATTGAGTTTTATAATGATTTTAGTATCATTGCCCTTGGTCTCGATTCCATTGAAGCTCGGAGATACATCAATGGGGTGGCTTGTGGCTTTCTTGGTATGGAAATTCTTTAATAGTCTTACCTCTCGGCTTTTCAAGTTATCTGCCTTTGTGTATTTCTTTTTTATCTGATCATGTGCTTGTGAAATATAGAGTATGATGAAGATGATACCCCGAGAAGAGAAACAATGAAGCCAATGGTAGATGGGGGAACAGAAGGTTTCAAGGGTCATGCTAGAGTTATCGTGCCTGGTGTTACACCATGTTTTGAGTGCACGATTTGGCTTTTCCCACCTCAAGTGAAGTTTCCTCTGTGCACTCTTGCAGAAACGCCTAGGAATGCAGCTCATTGCATTGAATATGCTCATCTTATTAAGTGGCCTGAGGTATGTAAATGGATTTCTCTCTCTGAAAGAGACTCTTTCAAACCGTGTATGTATTTGTTTTAGTTACGGTATCATCCATTCTTCATGAAGGTTCATGGTGGAAAATCCTTTGATCCTGATGAGCCAGAACATATGAAGTGGGTCTATGATGAGGTAAGTCATTCGTTCGCTTATTTACGCTATGGGTTTTAATTTTGGCTTATTTCATATTTTGTGCATTATCTTTGCAGGCTATCAAGAGAGCTGAGCTTTTTGGGATTCCGGGTGTCACATACTCTCTCACACAAGTATGTAACCATTCTTGCTGTTTCTGTCTTTTCACTTTCTAAAATTTTCCAGTAATCAGCTGAAGTGCTTGTGACCGTTTAAGCATGCAAAGATGAAATATATTTGCTATCTATTCATGAAGAATTAACGAGAGGACACTTGTTTTCGCATATAGGGTGTGGTTAAAAACATAATACCGGCGATTGCATCAACCAATGCGATTATATCGGCAGCTTGTACACTTGAAACCTTGAAGATTGTGTCTGGTTGCAGCAAAACACTTGCAAATTATCTGACGTATGGTTTTCTTCTTTCTCTATGCCTTGCTTGCTATTGCTAGTGTTTGGACTACAGTTTTCTACTTAAAATATATGAATGTTGCAAAGAATTCGATGTTATCCCCAAGCAATTTGGTTGGCTTTCATTTTCGCAAGGTATAATGGTGGAGAGGGTCTCCACACTAAAGTGACGGAGTTCGTGAGGGACAAGGAGTGTCTTGTATGTGGTCCGGGCATTCTGATTGAGCTGGATACCTCAATTACTTTGCAAAAGGTCCTTCCTCTTGCTTTATCGTCTCATTATTTTTTTAACACCGCGATGATCCTTGATTCAAAATTCCATGTCTCAATTCTCTTCCATTTTGTTCCTGTTCTTTTTTTTTTTTTTCTCAGTTCATTGAGATGCTTGAAGAACATCCAAAGCTTCTGTTGTCAAAAGCAAGTGTCAAACACGGCAAAAACAGCCTCTACATGCAGGCACCTCCGGTTCTAGAAGAGATGCACAGACCAAACCTAAGCAAGCCGCTCTATGACCTCATGGGAAGAGTCCAGAAGGACACTATCCACGTGTTTGGCACAGCTCTCAAGAACGAAGAGAAACAGTCGAGCTTAACAAAGCTTAGGGTTGTTTTCAAAGGAGCTGATGGTGTTGCAGACATGGACACAGCTATTGGAGCATGAAATCTGAGAGAGAGAATCAACCCTTTAAACGCAGCTAGGTCCATTAAGGTAATTGGGCAGCTTGACTTGTCCAGTTCTTATTACTGGTCTTTTTTTTTATTGTCATTAATAGCTGTGATAGCAGATTCTTACTGCGTGAGAAAAAAAAAAAAAAGAACTTCTTTTACTCCAAACAGATCGGTTTATATGATTGTTGTTAGCCTCGATGATGTTAATCTGTGACAAGAAAAAACATAGAGCCTTAGATTGGTTTTTAATTGTTACAGATTATTATCAGGATTCTCTGGTTCTGAAGTTCAACTATCTGAAGTCATGTTTTGTTCGTTATTGTTTCCGCTTACGTTTAGGTTTTTTTTTTTTTTGGCGTACAAGTTTGAGGATGACTTATAACAATTTGTGTGCTTGTTGGTGAGTCGGTTTTGTTTGTGTAGTTAGTAGAACACTTCAAAAATTCGTATAGTTTTAGATCCATCAGTAAAAGTTGATGTAGTTTATGGGCAATAATTTCGGATTAAGATTACGTTTTGAGGTTTTTTTTTTTTTTTTAGGTTTAGTTCTCATGGTTTATATGGGGTTTAAACTAGTTTTCTTAGTATGAGTTTTGTCTTCTTTTTTTCTTTTTCATCTGAATTCTATTGACAAGGGTGAAATAAATTAACGATCAACATAGAACGAAATAAAACAAAGATATAACTCGGAAATTAGTGGCTGGCTACTGGATAGCATTTGGAGTTGTTCCATTGTGTTCCTAGTTCAATCTTCTTTGGGAGGATGGAAGAAGATTATGGTTTAAGTCTGAAGTTCGAGATTATAAAAAAAGAACTTGGAAAATTTAATACTTTTGGTAATACTAAAACAGTTTTGAGACTACCTTTGGCACGTAAAACTTAGAAAGCAAAATTTTCGCATATTCAGAAGAAACAAAATTTAATTTGTGTGGTCGACATCCCCTATTTTTGTTTCCTCAAATTATTTTTTACTACATTTTTTTTTTCTCTTCTTTCGTTTGTGGCTATAATTGCTTGCACATATTTGTTTTCATATGATCTATAGAGAATTTATCTTTTGAAACGTAGTACTAGTATGGGTCGAGGATAAGGTAGTTCGACTTCTTTAATTGTTCGTTATCACCAGTGAAAGGTCAAGAGCTAGTTCAGAAATGCAATCACTAATGAAGACCGAAAACGAGTACACATATCATATTTCTAAAGATATAAAAAAGTGAAATGAATAGAAAATGGGAGATAATTGTGTCTGTATAATAAATAGACCATCAAGCTTCCCTTGGGAAATTGGTGTATGACCCTACTTCACTCGAACACTATCCTCAAACCATATCATATCAATGGGTTAGATTCTCTCTCTCTCCACATTTCAAATTGTTCATTGTCCATTTCCTCAATTGCCCACCACAAACAGTCTTCTAATGTGGCTGTTTTAGGATCTTTTAGCCATTAAAAAAGATTTCCTTAGGCACTATCAAAGAGTTTTTTTTTTGCCAATACCATGATAAATAATGTAAACCAAGTGTCTCTAATCTATTCTGGTAAGACATGATGATATGTTAATGTAGTAACATATAAACCACTTCATGATGGTTTAGTGGTAGAAAGATTCATTATTCGGAATTCGGTTTGGAATCACGGTTATTTAAAAACAACAAAAAAGGTAGAATGGATATGGGTTGTGTGTGAACTTTGATCCTATCTTTTGAAAAAGAATTAACAACTGGATAACATCAATGCACAACCTCCTTCTGTCCTTCATGTTGTGTTGTGTGGGGACTTAGCCAGATTAGATTTACATTGCTTAAAATTTCTCTCTTTTCTTTGGCCCTACTTTCCCACCCACATG